GTTGAAATCTATCTCAAAAATCAATTGAATAATCATAAGAATAATGTTTAGAAAGATCATTAATATTATTCTTCTAAAAAATATCTTAACAATCTTGAAACATACTTGAAATGCTACTTGAAGACTTTCTACTATTATAAATGGATGTAGCATATATAACAAAAGATGACTCTATTTTATAGCATTAATGAAAGCTCTAATACCTATAAATAAGGATTTGGTTGTATTTGACTTATTGCTTTTTATTTGGTTGATAAAAATCTTAATTTTACTTTAAAAATAATTAAGACTATAAGATATCTAATCAATTTAAGGATTATATTTTTTTAGCCACAATAAATATAAAATAAATAGATTAGATAGAGATCTAATAATATTAAATATCAATAAGCTACTAAGACCATTTATTGCAATTGTTTTAGGGAGGATTTTATGGCTAATATCTTCAAAGATAATAAATAATCATCTATGACTTCTATTTATATAGATTTAATTTTTTAACTAAAAACATGGTATATCTTTTAATAAATTATTTAATTAAAAAACAAATAAAGACTTACGAATCTAACAAGATAAAGGCTTTGTGATTTTTAGGTCTTAAATAAAAATATACTAAGAAACAAAGAAATAATTCTTTGAAGAGAATATGAACTTTATTAGGTATTGTATAAGATTCTAACTGCACAATCTCTATTATAATTGTATAAAGGCATTTTTTGACATATTAATTAAAAAAAAAATCATACTCCTTATTTTATAGTTGTGCCATTTCTTTTGAGAATGTAGAGTACAATACTTAGATTCTCTACAATATAAGCACAATTCTTCTTAATGATGAAAAGTCTTTTTTTGCTCAATAAGAGATATAAAACATATTGTATCAATTTGCTTGTTTTTTAGTTTCAAATGAATGTGTTAAAGAAGCACGAATATTATATTGAATTATAAAAATATTATGGCTTATTTATATAGCTCAAAGGTTAAAATTCAAAAAGCAAATTGACTCACTTCACAGCAAAGTCTTTTGCTTCATTCAAAGTTTGAGGATTATATAAGTTCAACATAATTTTTTTATTTCATATTGTAATCTATAAAAAAATTGATTAAAAAATGTAATATTATTCCACTTAATAGCAATTACAAGTTTTTTAAATTATTAAGAATTATTAATTAATTTTTCTTATAAAAAATTACAAATCTTGTTGATTGTAACACAAATTGTATCATTTTTTTTATACATAAATCAAAACTCTATCAAAAAAGATTCCAAATTATCTAATATTAGATCATATTATTCAAAAAAATATAATAAACATGATAAATCAAATCTTAAAAGTTATATTTTAATAAATTTGATTTATAATCTTGGATTTAGATAACTTTGAAGTAGAAGTTCAATCACTAGTTGTACTTGATTGATGAATATTTGAAACTTTAATCTTGTGCTATCAAACTTTTCAAATAAAGAAACTCTTTGTTCTCTAATACTTGAACAATGTTCTTTCATTTGAAAAGTATTATGATTTGTTGTAGATATTAAAGCAATTCCAATCATCTTCATATCTTCACTTATTGCCAATCTTGTTGCTCTTTGTAGTGGTAAATTGAATTGATGTGTAAAAAATATTGACTCTCTCATTTGCTCTTGCATTTGTGATATTACACTCTTCATTTCAAGAAATTCTATTATTATAATACAATAAAAAATAAAAAATATCAAATGTCACTCAAGATAAGTAGAAAAAAAGATTTGAGGACAAAGAAAATTCTAAAAACAATATCAATTTTGAAGTGAATAATCCAAAAATTTTAATATGCTTATATTTTATTAAAATATATATATATATATAATCCACTTTTAATTAAGAAATGATAAAGCTTTGATATTATAAGTATATTTAATTAATATATCAAAAATAAGAATTTAAAGAATATAAATAAACATGTGAAACGTTTATTTAAAGAAAGATGAAAAAAATAAAGAAATATTGATATTTAAAGAAAAATTAAAACGATTATTATCAATTACTAAAAAACTTTAAATATTTAACACTAAACTAGAAATAAGAAAGGACTTGACAAGATTGAAGAAGGCATCACTCTAGTTTCTATATATACTATCTAACTAAGTATCTTGTCACAACATTCTAAAAAAACTCTAATATGTGTCCAACTTATAAGATATTGGTCTAATTTGTAAGACAAGATTCTTATGTGTGTACCATATATTCAACTTTTATCAAAAGCGGCCAACATGTACAACATGTACCCCAACTTGTTGGCAAAGTTTTCAACCTATCAATTACTTATAGACATGTATAAATGCAACCCACGTTTATAAAGCTTCCAAGAAATTATTTTACAAGATATTATCAAATTTATCTACTTTTACATACTTCTACTTACTCATATTATCTTAATAATTATTAGAGTAAATATATATGTTCGTAATAATAAGATTGCAATAATATATTTGTATGTATATTTCTTTTTATTGATTTAAAAAATAATATATTTTAAAAAATATTATTTTAATTTTAATCTTCTATTTATTAGTATTTTTTACAATAGATATAAATGTAGATTATTAAAAATTAATCAAAAGATCTTAAAAATAAAATTATTTGATTAATGTATATTTTATTGTAAAGGAAAAAAATTATCAAATATATATTTAATTATTTAATGAAAAAAAAGTGTATAATTTCTATTATTATGCCATATTATTATCCCATATAAATTATAATTTTTTAAAAAAAATTAATAATAGTATTATTAAAAGACTAGTCCATTATAACCAATTTTAATATTTTTTCTAATAGTAACAAAAGTAGTAATCAAAGTATTCATTGTAAAAAATCTGCACCCTAACTTATTTTTATTGATTTTAAAAATTACTTCAATTAATTGTAGTCTTATTTAGCAAAACTTTTTATATAACTATTTTTAAAGTTAAGTACACTAAATTAAGATTTTAAAACCAATTAATATACTTATAAAGATAAAATTATGTTAGTTCTAACATATCTTTTTAGTTTCTATTGAAATTTTCATCAATACTCATTCAATTATTCTAGTTTTGTTGATTTTTTTTTTTTTTTTAAATCACTATTTTCTAACATCAAAAGTCAAATATTTTATAAGATTATATATATATATATATATATTTAACCATCTTCTAATATAAGTAGATTTGTTTTTATAGAAATAAGTATTAAAACAAAATGTATTTTTATATATGTTATTTAATTATTTTTAAAATTTTATTTTAAGAACAATTAAATTTTTATAAGTGATTTTTTTTTTTTTTTTTTTTTTTTTTTTTTTTTTTACACATAAGTGATTAAGTAAGGACACATCACTAATTGTAAACTAGATAAAATAAAATAAACTAAAGACACATTACTAAGATAAACAAAAGAACAATACAATGAATTAGAGATAAAGAAGAGAATTTTTTTTTGTGCCGAATGGCACAAATTTCCACTAGTATTTAATAAGACACTTATTTTTGTAGAAAATGCTTAAATAAATTTTCTCTTAGTTTAAATTTAGCAATAAAAGTCTAAAGAATGAAAATTGTTTTTAAAAAAAGTAGTCTTTACTTATTTTATTATCATAAAAATAAAAATATTATAATAAGTGTGTATGAAAGTATGTTTTTCTGTCATTAATAAAAATTTTATATAGCGCCATTTTTATGCATAAGTATGTATGTATGTATATATATATATATATATATATATATATATATACATATATATATCTATATACTTTAGCAACTTCCAATAGCTAAAAGAAATTGAATTTTATGCACAATTTTTCTAAACAAAGAGAAATCAATAGAATTGTCATAAGACCTTTCTGAAGCATTGGTTGAAAATGAACTATTTAAAAGAATAATCTTTTAATTTGATTAAATTTAGTAAAATAAATATAATTTATAATTATCTCATTATGCATACATATTTTATACTTTTAATATATATATATATATATAGATATATATAAAGTATTTTTTAAAAGTATATTTGAATCATTTACAAAGTCCTTTATGTTATGTATAAAATTATTTTTGAATATAAAAATTATTTTTGAATATTACAATAAAAAATATGCTTAATTCTCTATAAAACTATATATATTATTATAAAAGTTTGATAATACATAGAAATAATAATAAATCTCATATATTAAAATGAATCCACATATTATTTAAAATTTTACTTGATTATAAAATAAAGAAGTAGATTCTTTCAATACAATTGTTTTCTAGGTACAAAGATGAATGTATTAATATAATAAGACTGGTAAAGTAAAGATGACATATGAAAAATATATATATATATATATATATATATATATATATATATGATTCAATTAAATTAAATAAAAAAATAATTTTAGGTCATCTTGATGGTCTTGAAGAACACAACTATGATTAACACTCAAAACAATTGTAAAAAAATACTCCATTAGAAGGATTACATTGATCAAATCAACCTATTGTCATTAAAATTATTTTTAAACTAACAAGATAACTTCTTCTTCTCTACATCATATGTTATGACATTCTTCAAGAGAAGCCTTGTAAAAAATCTTGTTACTCTAATGCCTACAAAAATCTCAGTCATCTTTCTCCTCTAATACCTTTCTCCAAATCTTTCAGTGTGTTATTATAAGAGAAATGTTCAAAATACTCACCAATTTACTAAATGGACCCATCCTATCATAACCATCACTAGAAAAATGAATCATCTCCAAAAGCATCATTACAATTATGGCCCTTATCTCGACTTCCTAGCTACTGCTCCCTTAATTCCAACCTTCTTCATCCAGACCCATGTTCCAAATAGGGTGTATCAATTTAGTAAATGGGTGGGTCATTTTAACATTTTTCTGTTTTAACTATTATATTATTAACAAACTCTCCCATCCCATTGCACCATTACATTAATAACAAAGATGTCCACAGTTTCTTGTGCTTCAAGGAAAATTCTTGTGCTTGAACGCAAAAAAGGAGAGGAATAGCGAAGAAAATGGCGAGGGCCCTCCGCCATCTTGGGTTTTGGGATTTCCCGACATGGGTGTTGCAAATTCTTTGATGTAGCGTTGAAAGAGATGATCGGAAGCACTTCATGCAAGAGTTTCAGTGGCGGATTGTTACACAAACATTTCTTAGTCGGGAAATCACAGCAGACCTTTAACGAGGTTAAGAATGGTTTGTTGCCTTGTCCTCCACGAATCTGCCTTGAGTGAATCTTTCAAACAGGAATTTTTTATATCGTTAGCTGTAGAACCTCTTTACTTGTGCAATCAGAAACACAGGGTATAACATTAGGGCGTGGGTGTGGAGAGAGTTGGGAGTAGGGCACTGTTGGTTTGTTTGTTGTGAAATCAGAAAACTGTGGGTTGATTGCAGCTGGGTGTCTCTCAGTTGCCATCGTGGAGTCAGCGAGCACGCTTTTGTGTATCTCTGCGCGGAGTTTTCTTTTGGAAGCGGCTAAAGTATATCAGCGTGGTCGATAGGGCTGACTCGTTTTCTGTAGTCATGGCTGGCAGAGGAGGAAAGAGATTCTCCTTTGGAGGAATGGGTAGTGCAGCTGCTTTCGGAGGTGGAGAGGGTAGCAGGGTTGTGGGAGATGGTTCTACTGCTCCAGAGTCATCGTCCAGGTGAATTTTGCTTCCTCATGATAGATTCATGGTCATTTGTGCATTTATTTCCTGGTTTAGGTCAATTCGAGGTCATTCTTGTTCTGCATCGTAGATTCGCGCATGTAAGTTCATAGAATTTTGTCAGCAGCACCCTCTTCATTTATCCTGAGATGTGTATGAATTGTCAAGCAGACAGCATGAATACCGACAACCAGCGGCTACTAGAGAGCGTTTTGGGGAGGTAGAACACGAAGATGAAGATGTATCAGGTTCAGGTGCTGGTGGTAGTCAAGTGAGGCCATCAGGGGGTGGAGGTCGAGGTCGAGGCCGAGGCCGAGGTCGAGGGAGAAGGGATGCTATGGATTCAACGGAAGCTCTGGGGAGATGCATGTGAGTGTTAAATTCTGGTTTGCCTACATTGTCGATCGCTACCCAGATTGTTTGTAGGGTTTAGGTTTACACGACCAATTGCTCATCACATCTTGCCCTCACCCTTGTATCACAGCCTATTGCATGAAAAGGTCACACTTATTCTTTCTTTTACCAGGAGAAGAATTGGGCAGCCTGCTGTCTGTATTTACAACAGCGTTGACCGGCAATGTGGTCTTTCAGGATTTTAGTATCAAATGGTCATTAAGGTAATCGTGTCGCGGTTGGACATGCGAGAATGTTTAGTGGGTTATTCACGTTTTTCTCCTGTCTTGTGTGATTCCCAGGACTGCGATTCTAAGACATCGAGCCTCGGACTATGGACTAGAAATGCAGAACGATGGTTTCGTCTTAGTAGCTGATCTTTTAAAACTAAGCAAGAATACTGCAGCTGGTATTCCATTAAGTTCTCACAGCGTGGAAGATGTGCGCAAGGTGTCTTTCTTCTTCACTCGCGTGCACGCTCATGTGAAGTGCTGTGTTCCATGCTTCTACAGCTGTAGTGATCCATGGCTTGCAAATTGTTGCGTTACACAGTAGTAACTGTGCTTGACTACAACCATGGGTTGTTCAGGCTGTTGCAAGGGATGGGAAACGACGTTTTGGACTAAAAGAAGAGGATGGGCATCTTTACATCAGGGCAAATCAAGGTCATAGTATCAGGGTGAGTACATCTTTCTGGTGGGGCACACCATTATTCCTCGTGGTTTTATTGCTTGACGTTTTTCTTTATAGAGATTCCATGTGCTACGGCATAGATAAAAATAAAATTATCTCAGTAAAGTTGTCATGTTTGCCACAGCTTTTTGAGCTCCAGTACTAGATGATCGGATATAATTACCTCCAGCAAGAAGCGTTAAGAGAGTTTCTGCTTTGGCCTCTTTGTGAAGGGCGTCATTCTGCCAAACCATAATTGATCTTTGCCTCACTTTTGCAGACCGTGGAATCTGGACAACTTTTGTCGTTGGTTACATCTCCTTCACAAATTCCAGGTGATTTGCATAAATATTTTGAGACTTTTGTATTTAATAAGTCCCTTGAGCTTTCAACTAATCCTGTTTGGGTAATTTTCGTTGTTGGTAGCGACGCTTTAATCACTCTAATGTATTCAAACGTCGTTGACTTGCAAAACAATTAAGAGTAATCGTCTTAATGTTGCATCAATTATCTTAAAATTCTACGGATTGATTGAACTCTTAACTCGGGTATCGTGGAAAGTGGCGTCCACATCTTTGATATACTTATGAGACTTGAATTGTTTTTCTGTCGTTTAAATGATTGTTTTGACAATATTATATCTGAACCATCTGATGGAGTACTCTTATTTGTTTTGTCAGCTGTAACTAATTTCTTGTTCTTCTGAATGATAGTCTGTGTTCATGGCACGTACGAGAGATTTATGGACAGTATCTGGCAAGAAGGGTTAAAACGCATGAATCGAAATCATGTTCATTTTGCTACTGGCTTGCCTGAACAGGACGGTGTCATCAGTGGTAGGTTCCTACTGCAACTTGGGCAACTTCTTGTGGTTTGATTTATGTGTTGCAATATCACAAACGATCGAGAATGATCGTTTCTTGTGGGTGATATATCAGGGATGCGTGGATCTGCTCAGGTTCTCATATACCTGGATGTGGAGAAGGCTATGGAGGGTACGTGGATCTCAATAAACTATATAAACTATTGGCCTTTAATATACATGTGTAGGGTCCCAGACGGTGTTTTGCAGACTGGGCCTCTTGGTTTGCTTTTTAGAAAATGATATTAGCAGAATAGTTTAACGATCATTATAAACTATTCCCTTTTGCAGTGGTAGTTGCATCTGTTAGTGAACATTTCTGAAATTCTTCAATTACATTATTTAGTCATGCAACTGCCGCATTGGTGTGAGCCATTGAGCGGATGAATCCAATCACTCAAAGCATGTTTTGAACGGATACGTACCTGAAATGTGTGCAGATGGAATGAAGCTCTACGTTTCAGATAACAAAGTCGTTCTCACCGAAGGCTTTGATGGGGTGGTTCCGACTAAATATTTTAAGAATGTCGTCAAGAAGTTGCCTCGTGGCAGAGAGATGCCACTCCATCCATCAAGTAATCAGCCTAAGCCTCATGAGAATACTGCAGCAGATGTCTAGAAAACAGAGAACCCAGAATTGGTGATCAAAGAGGATGCCTATCAGAATGCCAGCAGCTCCCTTGCTTAATGTCTGATTATTTCTAGTGGTTTTTGTGGAATCAATTGCACCAAATGCCCTGAACTTATTGGAAGAATACACCAACTTTCTGGATTTAGTTATGTAAATGGGAGCAGATCGTTGAAACTCATGTTACATTATCGACCTGATTTATTAGGAGAGACAGCTATCAAAATAGTTTCTACAATCTTGTGATTTATTGAGCTTAAAACTAAAAAAAATAATTTGTTTATAATACGAGTAGATTTACTTGCTTTCAGAAATATTATTGGTATTTGGAGGTCATTGGTTGTATTTGGACAACCACATACCTGAAATGCATCATCATGAAGATTAGGTGGCATGTTTTCATCATCAACTGTAAATTAAATGGGTCCAAAACAGTTGATACTATTATTTTGATGAGAAAATAATTTAATGAATTGCTTCTTTTGAATATCATTCAGCATCAAAATACCTTAAACCACCAACTTAGTGATTTTGACCAATTTGTGAGAGTTTTATTTATTTATTTATTTATTATAATTGTGGTGGAGAAACAAGGTTTTGAAGTATTGCAAAAGAAAAAAAGTGAATTGTTGCAACGGTTTAATTGAAAAAAATGAACAAAAGGGTTTTTGCATATGATCCTTAAACTAAGGCGTAGACTTAAGCAAAACCATGAGTAGTTAAAGCAAAAGTTGGACTCATGAAGCTACCATGTTTGCAATCACTTGGGTGGGATTTTACTCACAATCCGGGCTTAATGAGCACATGCATGTGGAACAAAAGTTAGCACAATAACAACCAAAAATCACAAAGGAGGAAGCAAAAAACTTTGTTGCCAATTGCACAAACTTTGCTTGTTAGCTTGCTCCAAATGGCAAGAGCTTAGGCCCCAAAATCTAAATGCAATTATTTCAAAACCACATGAGCTAATTGACAATGGTCAAGAAAATCAGTAGTCAAGGAAGGCCTATTCCATGAGAAAGAGTGCACCAAACCACCCTATGGCTGTAAAAACTACCACATGAGTAGAATCCATGCCTTCCCTCTCATCACCATTTCCTTCTAAATTAGAGTCTCATGGAATGCCTTTTTGGCTCACATTACATAGAAAGTGTCTTCTCTAGCATATTCATGAATGGTGAAGACATAAAATGCAAATGGTTGTCAAATGGTAGAAATTGAGAAGGTTGGAATATGAGGGAAAGAAGTGGCTATTGATTGTCTTGATATAGGATTGAAATGACAGTGTTGGAATTAAAAACTAGAGCTAGCCACAACTTGGTTTTTTAACACGTGCTTGATTATATATTGTATTCTTTAACAACATCTTTTGGCATCCATGCATGCTCTCCATTACCCTCTTTGTGTGAATTCTACACCTCTTTGCCACAACTTTAGCTTGCTGAGTTGTTTTTGCAATTTAAGCTATAGCAGCTTCTTGTGCATGCAATCCCTTTGTACTCTTTTTTGCTTCTTTTTTTAGCAGCATGGTGTACTAGGAGGGTGGCCTTCTTTGCAGCCCCCAACCTCTATTGCCAGATTTGCTCTGTTTGCTCCATTGTATGTTGCATAGTGGTTTCTTCTCGCTTACCTTGCTTTTTTTTTTCCAACTCTCTTCTTTCTCTTTTCTTTAACGATCTTTCTTCATTTATAGATACTCACATCAGAATCTTATTAAATGTACTACTTTTTTATATTTACGTGAGGTGAATACAAGAGATTTTATAAAATCCACCATTGAATCACATTATCATTGATTGGATTAAGCAATCCAAGACAACCTTAAGAATTGTGTTATGGACTCTTAATTCTCCTCTTCACCTTCATTTCCTTCACCTTGCACTTCATTTTTCTCACCATCCACTTTTGGATTACTTAATTGAGAATTTCGTATGAAGAAATGATTGCTAATGGCATTTGGTTGTTGCTCAAAGTCCTGCTCAATCTGCTCCTCATTTAGCGCAGCCAACGATATTGTAGCATCAATTCCTTGTACTTGTTTTAAAGTGCCATGATCTTTAAGAGAAGTAATGCTACTCTTTTCAAATGCTCCACCCTATATATATATATATATATAAACATATTTAGTTTTGTTGTTTCTAAAAATTAAAATTCTTCTTTTTTGGAAGAGTTAATTCTGAGGTTTTTTTTTTTTTTTTTTTTTTTTTTTTCCTCTGTTGCAAGCTAAATGAAATCAGTGATAAGTTACATTTTGCAAAATTTCTTAGGACTTGATGAAGTAGCATGACTTCAGATTTTGGACCAGAAGCTTATTCTTAAACTTGAGATCAAACCTTATAACAAGTAGCCGATTGCATGCTTCCATGCACATAAACATGCCATGCATAGACATGGCTCCATGAACAACCATTACATATTGAATTCATTGCAATACTAAGAAGAGGGATTGAATTAAACTTGGAAAGCAAAGAAAAACTGAACTAGGAAACCAAAGAGAAACTAAACTAACTATTGAACTAGAAAACCAAACAAAAAAAAAAGCTAAAGAAAAAAAAATCAAAAATCAAAAATCAAAAAATTAAATAAATAAAAAAAACTTATAAGCAAAAAAAGAAATTTAGAATGAATAAAAAATTAAATAAAAATCTAAAGAAGTATGTAAAAATTTAAAGAAAGAATAGAAAATTGAAGAACAAAGAAATAAAATTGAAAAAAAGAAGTTGAAAACAAATGAAAGATATTAAAATTCAATAAAAGAAATTCAATACAAAGAAATTAAAAATAAATAAAAATGAACTTAAAGGATAAGCAAAAAAAAGTGAAAGGTAGTAAATTATTTGCTTGTGCACCCATCTCATCACAATTCCAAATGTGATGAGGCAAGTAGTGGTACAAGTTAAACAAAGTCTTTAGGTTGTGGTATAATGTCATTATATTTTTCTCAAAAAGGACATGAACTTTGGCAGATTCTAAAGCACTAGATGTGCATATAGTGAGCTTCAAATGGCAAATGCAAAACCATTGCATCTACTTGCCACTCAAAATTTTGTCATAGAATAAGATCTATCAAGATTTAGTAATCTTATAAGCTTTGAGCCTTAGAATAGAAGATAAAAGGCCATACCTTGTACCACAAATATTCATGTAGTCTATTAGTTGTGCTTCCTTATCAATCGTTAATACATTCTTTACATCGTGAACTTGACTTCTTATATATCCATAGCACCAATTATGTAAATTTAAATGCAAGATATTATTCTACTTTCTTGTGGCTTTGATTGAGATCCTGTTGACAATGTCATTGCAAGTACGTTGAATGCCTTCATCAATTTAATTTCCATTATTATAAGTCCTTTGACAAGCTCTTGATGGTTGCATCACCATGTCCATTCCAAGTTGTCTTTATCTCATCTTGGCATAGTCAAATTATAAAAAAATGATGTAATCTTCAATGATAAAGAATCTTAGTAGAATTAGTGGCCAATAACGGGAGGGCAAGAGGTTGCAAAAAGTTCATATTTTTTTGTATAATTAGTCATAGAATCCCTGGAAAATTTTCAAATTTAGTGTAGTCTATTTGAATATGTAGTTGGTATTGACTATTATCAGAGTTGTTCTCAGATAATTCATTATGAGAACCATGGTCGCCCTCTTCTTCACTAGCTTTGGTGTGAAAGAATCATTTATTACTAGTAAGATCTATGACACTCTCTATGATGAAATTTGTACAAAATCCATTAACTAAGGCTATCTTTTATATTCTAAGATTTTGATAAAACCTTACAAGTATAAAAATCCTATTCACATGCTTTGATAAGATTTAACGCACTTGCATGAATTCATGACAATATAAGTAGTCTGCATTAGTGAAACCTAGTCACATATAATTTGCTTCAATTAATTGATTAGATAATAGACTTGAATATCATGCTTTTTGCTATGCATTTCTTTCACTAAACTTTCACATAAACTCCATCTTTTTGCTGCAATCATCTTCTTTTTCATGCCTTAGCATATTCATAATGTCTTGTACAAGCACATTAATGAATAATAGAGAAGAACATTCATAAGAACTCTAAGTTTTATCTTCATGCTAATTAGAGGAACATATAATTGCTCAGTAATTTTGCACCCTCATGCTTATTAGCTTTAGAGCATGTACCAAATCACTTGATTGCTTGTACACATTTAGCAAAATTCAAAACCATGTGCACTAAGGCATAAGTATATGTGGTCGTTGTCTTAAAACTGCACCTATCTTTTTTATGAGTCATAGTTTTTTATTTTTATTTTTATCCATTGCCAAATTAATTAGTAATACAATTTTTTTTTTAATTCCACATTTATAGTTTGAAGTAAATTTTAACTATTTGTCCCTAAGACTGCAAAGAATTTATATAAAAATACACAAAAAAAACCATTGAATCTATGGCAAATGCAACTGCCAACCGCCTAAGATTATATTCATAAATACTGTCTTTTCGACATCATTGCTTGCTATACATGTGATCTAATATCTCATCCTCCCTTCTATAATTTTTGAGCAATAGCATGGCATTCTATGGTTGTAAGGCCTAATTGTATAGTTTCTATCTATTACTAGTTAATGGTTCAAAGGCATGACACAATTTGAGTTATTTTGACATAACTTAATTTTCTAATTAAAAGTGGATAAGGAGGATTGAATTTTATTTTTTAATTTTTTTTATCCTATAATAATTTATAATCATTTTTTTACATAATAAGATTTATGTGATTTTCTATTTTATATTAAAATTTTACTTTTAGAATATCTATCAAGTATTTTTATTATTTTTAATAATCTAAAAGTCTTTGAAATTAAAAATTATTTTATACATAAAAAATGATTTTTCAAAATCATGATAAATGGTTGTAAATATATAAACTAAAATAGAATTGTATAAGGCATAAATGACAATATAATTACTTTTTAATAATTATTTTTATCCAATTTTATTTAAAAATCCTACTAACAAAATTATTTATAAAATTTTAGAAATGAAAACATAAATTCAAATATAAAATTTTTTAATGTGTTTTCTGGCAAAGATAAATAAAAATATTGAAAAAAATCTCTTGTATAATATTTTATTTTAAAAATAAAAACACTATATTAATAAGATATTAAAAATTCAAATTCAAATTCAAAAAAGAATGCTTAGAAGCTTTATCATTAAAAACTTGAAAAAATTTTCGAATTATAAATAAAAAAAAAGGTTTAGTATAAAACCAAAAAAAAGTATAAAAAATTATATATGAATAAAAAAAATTAATAAAATAAAATTACGACAAAAAAATTATAGTTTTATAATAATAATCATATTTTATTTTACAAGTTTTAATATAGTTTGTTTCATATATGCAAATAGTTTTATACATTTTTTTTGAAAAATTATAATTTAACAATTGATTAAATTTATGTAAACTTTAAAACTAAAATTTAAAAAATACAAAACTTGATTTATTACACTTCATTTTTTCATTGATTTAAATATTTCAATATTACCAATAACTTTTTCATATGAAAATAAAAATTATATATATTTTTTAATTTAAAATAATTGAACAATTATTGTTAGAAAAATTTTCAAAACATATTTAATTCTTATAGATAATAATCAAATTTTTAAAGTTCATGAATTGAAGAAAAAAGAAATAATTAGAATATGTAAATATTTATTCTTTTGAATTTTTAAAAAATACATGCATACAAATAAAATAACTTAATTCATGTCAAATTATTTGAATAAGAATGAATATTTAATATAAAAATAATCATAAATTTATTAATTTTTAAGAAATAAAAAAGATTATATATATATATATGTATGTATATTCAAAAGAGAATATTATTTATTTTTTATTAAAATAAATTAAATATATAATAATTATTTATTAATATATATATATATATATATATACATATATATATATAGCTTGCTAAAATTATATCTTCAATAGATGGAGATTTTATAAATTATAGGAGGTTTTATAATTTAAGTGGAACTAAACAATTTCATAGTTTTCATGTAATTTGACTAATAAAGAAGTATATAAGCAATGTAGAATGTAAAATATTTATTTTGTAGTAATATTAGAGTATTTTCTTTCTTTCTTTTTACCTCTTTAATATTATAACCGACAAAACTTATGAATTATTAATATAAATATAGTGTTGTTATATGAAAATATTTCTTATTTGCTAAGCTAAGACTAAAATCTATTAAAAAAAAAAAAATAACAAAAAATATATTTGTAGTAGAAGAAGGACCAAAGAGCCATTAGTTTTGTAGCAATGTGTGCATTAGTGATACTTTAATTGATGTAAACCACCACAACCTAATCATCATCGTATATCATAAACTTTTTTTTCATCTTCTTTTTGCTCCCTTATTCCCTGTATCAAAGGTGAGAAATTTCTAAACCTAATAAGAGCTAAGGAATTTGAAAGAAAGTGTGACAAGGTTTGGGGGGCCATATAATAACAAGAATAATCATGCATCTAGTGAATTAGAGAAATAAATGTAGTTTCCTTATTTTTTAAGTTGGAATAATCTTTGAGAACTTTGAAGTAGAGAACTATAATGAATTAATAAGATTTTTTTTATTTGTAGACAAAAGAAACTACTTTAAAAATAAGCTCTAAAATAGAGTATCTATTTACAATAAAGAGCTTAAAGAAAAAAGAAGCATCTACAATTACAATCAATAACAATTAAGATTGAAAATATATATATATATATATATATATATATATATATATATATATATATATATATAATTCAATAAGCATAAGATACAAATTGCAAGGTTTTATTATTTTTTGATTTTATTGATGTTCATGTTCAACTAATAATAATGTTTAACTAATAAAAATGCACAATTATTTTTTCCTTATTTTGTGTCATGTTCAAAATAGTTTTAATAAGTTCAAATAAGTTCAAATGTTCAAATAAGTTCAAAATAGTTTTAAATTTATAATAAAAAAAATACATAAAGATCTAAAGAAGCTCTTATAAAGTATACTAAAAATAAGTTTGTCCATGTAAAAGCTCATATACAACCAATAATTTTAAACATCTTATTATACTATAAAAAATATAAAAAAATAAGCACCAAAGACCTAGCTATATGCCACAAATATGTACTATATTATTTAATAATAGAAATTAAACTTGAGAATTGAATTTGCTATTATAAAGGTAGATAGATCAACATCAATCTAACTCTCATCTACAAGATAAGAGAGAAATTTTGCAAAACATTCAACAACCTAGAAGATAAAAGATTCAAGTTTTTAAATAGCTAAATGCCTTATTTTAATATAAAAAATTAACAAATAAATAAATATATACTTATTCATGCATACAAACTACAAAAATATAGATGCAAAAGCCACATCAACCCAATTTTTTGAAATAAACGGGTTAATTGTATTAAAAAATTAAAGTGATATTTTTAACATGGATGAATCTAGGCTACATTAAATTACGTCTCTAAATAGAGTAATTGTCAACTAATGCTATTATATTATGTGAAAATAAGTTAGAGATTGCACTAAGTTTTTAATTGTAGAAGACTTTCAACTTTGTATTTCTTCTTATAATCAAAATGAATGTATGAGTATTTTAATTTTTTTTTAAATAATTATCATCCTTTTAATATCTTTGATTAATTGATTTTGAATCAATCAATCAATAATTATAGATAATATTATATAAATAATTTTGAAATTTATTTACATATCTTTTACTCATCTCTGAGATAGTTGAGTGTATTTAAGATTATGGATATAGGAGCTACTTACATTCTTTAAGCAACTACTAATATTACCCTTAGATGGCTTTATTTAGATTACTTTCAAAATCATTTATATGGTCTTTATTCATCTACAAGATAATTAAGCATATTTTAAACTTATAGATATGGACTCTACTAACATGCTTTAAGCCACTACCAACCTTAATCAAATAGCAAATAACATCCAAGAAAACCCGAATGAATCTTAAACATTATCTATAAAAATCCTAAAATAAATCTATCAATCTTTGTTAAATCCTAAAAATCTTAGTTAAACCTAAGCCATATTTTAATTAAATTCTAACAAATTCTAAAGGAACCTTAAACAAAGCCTAATCAAATCATAATCAAATCTTAGAAAAATCCTACATTAATACCAAATAAAATTTAATCAAATCTTAATTAAAATTTAAGAAATATTAATTAATTCTAAATAGATTCATCATTAAATTAAAACCCTTGTAACTTCCTATTTATCATTGATTTCACCAAAGACTTAGTACAAACTTTGAACTGCTAATTGACAACATGCACAAAAATTTGAAAAGAATGACAACTATCAATTAAGAGAATAGTCAAAAAAAAATTTGCATGTGAATTAAGTTACCTCTTTTTCTCAACCTCAATATTGAGCTTCCAATTCCAATATCTCTCTCTTCAACCATCATTTTTTCTGAAAATGTGTGTAGTTATTGCTATTTATGTTTGCTAAAACTGTACTAATTTTTACTTTAATTCAACTTGAGAATTCTTTCAAATCTTAGAAACTCTTAATTGACCTCAAATCTCTAATTTAGATACTTCAACCAACTTGAATTCCAATAACTCTTAATCTTGCCGTTCAATTGAACTTAATTTTATAAAAAATCTAGCACAACTATTTGCACAAATCTTCTAGCTTCGAATCACAAATCTTCTAGCTTCGAATTCCCAATGCTCCTCATGTTCAAGTTTACGTGCAAGGAACGGCACATGTGGAGGTGCTTGAATGGGCAACGCGGGAGAGGTGGCCGGACCTGACATGCCCAATGAACGCGTTCTGGACCTCAAATGGCAAACTGGAATCACCGGACAACCATTATCCTGGCTCTCCAAATGAACGCACAGACAACTCTATGGCATGAGGTTGCCGCTTGTTCGATGCTACGCTGCCGGTCTCTGTTTCCTGTTCCTCAACATTCGGCGCTGCGGCAGAGACAAGCAAAGCTTTACAGTTGCGCCAGAGCTCTTAAGTTGATGGGGTATGCTGCTGTAGCGTCGCCAGTGAACAACATGTTGAAGAGGATCCGAACCACGTGCTCCGTCGGATGGAGCACGTCCCAGAATAGCGACTTGAAGGGCCGCCTGCAGAAATCCTGCACAGCGCCGGGCAAGCTGGGCGGCACGGGCTTCCCACATTGCACCTGCGCGTTCAGGAATCCGGCTCCGCAACAGGCCGCTGTGACGTTGTCCAACCCTGTGCACAGCCACCGCTTGTGTTAGAATTCGAGTGTTTCTGCGCGTTAAATTTCTGTCATTACATGCGATCCCAGCTTTGCGGATTGCTGCAAGTCCCGTTCCCAAGCGCTTGCGACGAGAACCCGAGAGCGCTTACCGAAAGCTTTGCCATCGGTGATCATGGCGGATACAGTATCGAAGGTGTTGGCGAGCACCAGGTTGAAGCCCGGAAGCGCGGCCCGAAGGCCGTCCACCATCTGTTTCAAGGCCGCGTTGAATCCCAAAGCCAGCTGGTTTGCTACCTCAACACATTCGCCCGGGTTGGCAGTGTTCGAAGCTCTTGCCAACGGGGAGCATCCCAGCGGACCGACGCCGACCACGATGGCCTTTCTGGCTCCGGCGTGGTAGACCGCCTGCACAAGCATGTCACCGTCAGGCGCGGCGTGCATGTGGAGAGGGCCTCTCAGCAGCCGCTCGATCGAAACGCTAGGAAGATCCCGGACACGTTATCCGGGGCTTAGGGCTCATGACGTCCACTTACCAGGAGGGACTTCTGATACACGTCGATGAGGGAAGCCACGAACTGGGTGGCGTTCACCTGCTGCTGGAGCTGCGCGTCGCGGAGGAAGGCTGATAGATCGTTCGACCCGCTGATGAAGAGGAAGATGGATTTGGAGATCAAGCTACCGGCGCGGTGGGCGTCGAGCTGCTTCTCCAGGGTGGCTTTCGCGATCGCAAACTGTTGAACTTGGGCACTCATCGGAACCGACTGCGATGAACAGAGCGAACAATTGCCACTGGGGTCAGTCATACCTCGCGGCACGTTTGGAACCGTTATTCTCAAAAGCTTTGCCAATGAAGCACGCAGCCGATTCTATGCGCAACCTCGAGACCCGGAGAATGGGACGTGGACTTACGAAATCATCGGCGCTGGTGGAGTCCAGCAACCCGCTGCCGCCTGAGGCAAAGTTGACGCCTTTAGTGAAGGAAGCGTGAGGCTCCAAGAACGGTGGCGTGAGTGGGAGATCCAACTTTTGAGCTGTTTCAACACGTTGCAAGTTCATCAGGGCCGTGTTGCTTACATGATTCCAGCACCATCCAGTTACAAGCTCATGACACAGCAAGAAGTGATCAGGAGCCTGACCATCACACTCTGCGAAACAGCTCCATCAAACTTCAGATCATACTACATTCAGGTCTCAAGCTTACCTATGAAATCCACAATGGTGCGACCGTTGGTGAAGCGCCCTGTGGGCTTCCTGAAGAACGTCTTGCCGTATGGTGGGAAATCGGCCCTGGCTGTGGCTTGGGGTATGAAACTGTTGGTTCCGGCATCACCCAATGAGTCTCCAAATGCAAAAATTGCGGGGACGTCGAATTCCTTGTGCGCCCGTGTGGCGTCCACGGGAACGACTGGGATGGCGGCCAGCACCACAGCAACCAACGTGAGGGCTGTTTTCAAATCCATGACCTCCCACCGTCTATCACACCCCCTCCGTCACTGGAGTTCGTGGAAATCCCCCTCCTTGAGCTGGGCAGAGAGTGTCGAATCTGCTGTGGATCACCCGGGGTGGAGGTGAAATCAACGCCTCGAAGCCCTGTGGGAGTGTTAGGATCTGTGCAGTCAATTGTGAAACCTGCTCCGGAACTTGAGTCCTTGTGATGCCGCTCTCGGATCTCTGTATCCAAGTTGTGAAGCGATGATGAGGAGGAGTGCTGGCTTCGTGGTTTATATACGTGCGAGACCAACACCCGAACGACGAGAGCAGGTCCTTTCGGGGTTTGACTTCCGCGTGACCTCGACACGCCGTATCCATGCGCTGCCTTGGCTGGGGTTGAATAAACAGTCCCGCACGTGCAGTGGTAAGTGCTGAGAAGAAAAGAAGCGCGTATAAACAGTTGAGGGGAATCACTGCACGCACATTACGACTAGGCAACAGGGTTAGAGCCCAGACCTACAATGAACAGTTTCAGACAGAAGCATAACCTTGCTAGATTCTCGGTCAGTACAGCGCCATTTGTCGTTACTGGGGCGGAGTGACACCGGGACCTTCGTGCGATGCTTCCCTCCTCACCGACAAGAAACAGGAGGAATGCTTTCACAACGATGTTGGTATTTTCGTCGTTGAATCCTTGTCCATCGCTACGTTGGCGGGCTAGTCCGTATTCATTGGAATCAAGATTAGAAATAACCAGTCAAAACAGTGGAAAGTTGCAGCCTGTCAAGTGTGCGCGACCTTTTCAGTGGCTCCTCCCTTTTCAGTGGCTCCTCCCTTTTCAGGATAAACAATGTACATGCACTATTATTATAAATTAATTTACATGGTTTCTGTCACTTTCAGATTCACCTTGTTCTAATATGGTATCAGAGCGAAGCTTTTGAGAGAGTTTTTATGATACAAAACTCAGAATTACAATAAACAAGATAGGGGAAAAAAGAAGCTTTGCAGAAGGCATTCTACATAGATAGTTGGGGCAACAGTGTATCCTCATTTTGTCCTCAAACGAACATGGCTTCAAGCAGCCTTGCTACGGAAAAATGGGCTTAGTTTGTTGGCTCCTGGTACTCTATGTGGATGAAAAAGATTCAAATGTAGTTTGAAATGGAAAATATGTGGGATGTAGTTTTAGGAAAAGAAACACAACCAACACCAATTCAAGAAGTGGATGCAAGAACAACACTGCCAACCAATCTAATTGAAATTCTTACTTTGAAAAGGAAGGATCATATTGGTTTAGTAACAATTTGGGATTGTATAGAAAATTCAATTTATTCTTATGTTGGAATATGCAAGACAACTAATGAAGCATGGCTGGTCCTTGAAAATATATACTTTGTAAGTGACATAGTCACTGAAGTCCATCTACAAGAAAAATTCATCATACAAAAAATGAAAGTCAGAGAATTGATAACTCAACATATACATAACTTCAAGAATTTTTTTCAGCAATGCCATTATGTAGGAATTAGCATACCCTCTCAAATGAAAATCTTCACTCTCATGAGATCCATGTCATTTCAATGTAGCACTATGATATAAATGCTTTATACAATAAGGACTTCAATATTCTCAAAGTTGATTGCAATCTTCTTACAAGAAGAAACAATTATGAAAGGCTCATCTTCTAACTCTCATGCCCTCTTTCTAGGATGCAAAAGAAAGACCAAATGACAACTTTACAAATCAACCCAAATAGACCATAAGCTTTCAAAACCTTGAAACAAAGTTATTACTCCTTGCCCACTTTGCAAAAAAATAGGCATTGTGGTTTCTAGTATTTTAAAAACAAAACAAAAGTTGCTGCAAATTTAATAGCAAAAAATCGTGACAATAAAAAAAAAAAAAAAAAAAAAAAAAAAAAATCTCGTAGAAGCAAAGAACAAGTAAAGAAATTATCTCTTACTTTCTATGCCTATGTATATATGAAGGTAAATTCCACCCCTCAATCCAAATTACAAGATGGCTTCAATTAAGAGTTGCTTGTACTTGATGGTGTGAAGTGGAAGTAGCAAGAATAAGAACAAAAGAAGCACAATACAAAAACAAGTGAAACAAGTAAAATCAAGCAATTTTTACCTATAAAATTAATTATAGTCTATTCATTGAATTTTAATCTAATAAAAAATAAAAAATAAAAATAAAAAATATATTTTTAAAAATCTAATTTTTTTTTTATCTTTCCAATAGTGTAAGATTTATATAAATCCGAGTTGCTATGAATAATTTATGAAGGTTCAAAAATAATAAGTAAATAAATAAAAAGTTAAATGAATAATTTTTACCTCAAGAATAGCTTTCTTAAGAGATTAAGAATTCAAGTCTCATCAAGATTCACAAGTAGTATATATGGGTGTCTAAAAGAAGCCACAAGACCTTAGTCTTATCCTTCTAACTACCTTCAAAGTGCTACAATCTATATGGAACTTTTACACCTCTCTTTTTACAAGGACTATACTTTCTACTAGTCCTCTTATTTTTTACTAGCAAAATCAATATTTTTGTATTTTTGACTTCACCAAGGTATTTAAAAATATTCAATTAGCCTAGGATCCTTATGTGGCCTTAAAATCTTGTTCCATTTTTTCATAATGGCTCCTAAGGTGGTAAAACTCATTTTTATCAAAGTCTTAAAAATTGCTCTAAAAATTCCTAAAAAATTCCAAATAAATTCTAAATAAATTATAATTTTTTTTATAATTTTTCTTTAATATCAAAATTAATTTGAAGCTATAATTTCATAATTTAGTAATTTTTTATAATAATAAAATTAATTTAAATCAACTATAAATTCTATTTTTTATATAACTAATTAAAAAGATATGAGATTCTTTCTCATGCTTCTTCTAACTATTAACTAAAATTTATAATTTTTTTATAATTAATATATATAAATATAAGGCCAATGTAAATATTGATCTTAATAAATAATACTTGATATTAAATAATAAATAAAAATACTAAATCAACTAAGATAATTACCTTTAAGACTTATTAAGACTTCATTTGTACAAATATCATTCTAATTTATCTATTTATTTAAAGATTTCTACATTACTCACTATATATTGTAATTTTAAGCATTCTAAATGCATCTTTTTAAACTAAAACAACTAATGAATCAATTTGATGATTCACAATTTACTTTCCACAAGCGTTTGACTTAGACACATTGCCTAAATCTAAAACCACCAAAGATACATAATGGTTCATTGATATTAGAGCCACACACCACTTGACACATGATAAAAATTAATTTATTAATTTCAAACCATTCCTATATGGTGACAACAAGATCTATCTTGGCAATGATATAATATTATCCATCTATGGCAAGGAAAAAGTAGAAATTTTAATAATTAATGGATTTTTTTTTTCTTTCTAACACATTATATGTACCAAATTTAAATAAAAATTTATTCTCGATATGTAACTATGATCTTGAAGGAGAGATTATTTTAATCAAAAATCAAATGTATTTTTTTTTTGCACAAGATAACACAATCTTTGTTTTATGCTATCTTTGACCTAATATATATTTACATGGATCAAAAAATTACAATAGCAGAGAATAGAGGCTTATACTAATTCTTTATTAGGAGCTTTATTGTCTCTACCACAATTGCCTTCCATGCCCTTTCAAAGTTCCTTACTAAGAACTTACTACTTCTTATAGCTGAAATTACATGGGCTCAAATCACATCTTAATGTGACTACCACCTTTTTAATGGCATAGCCACAACATGTGGGCCATCACCAATATTGTTCTTTACTCAATCTAAGTTTTTGGCAATTATATGCAATGGTACAGGAGTAATCAAGCAACCTTCTATAGTAGCGCTTCCTACGACTATATGCAATAATGAGTGCCAAACAATTGACCTAATTCTTTCTTCTATACAAAACAATTCAAATCTTCATATATTCTTTCTTGTTTCAATACTTGTTATTCTTTCCTCTATTGCATATGAGCTACATCTTTAATTTAACATCTTGACTTATTTGCATTATATCAATCAATTTAGTCACCATGAACTTATTCCATGGCCGACCTTATTGATCGCTTTTTCAATCCTTTCCACCTAGCCTAAACTACCTCCATGTGATCATATATTGACTCCACTTTGATGCTATAACTTTATATAATTGTCATCTTTTTAAGCTAGTAATTATCCTTGTGGCATCCTCAGCTTAATTATCATAGCGATGATTGCTTTAAGTAGTTTGTCAATACATCAATCATCATTGGATTATATCTCAAAACAATATGGAATCATATTTGCTTAACATACCTCTATGACAAACATGTAGTGACAAAGTTCTCCAAACAAGCTACTACGTGAGTAACTTAGTCTCTTAAACTAATCCATTTTAATTTGAGCCACTATATAGCTACATCAATATTTTTGGCTATAAATACTATATTATATTTATAGATAATTTTTCAAGATATAGAATGCTTTGACTCCTAAGAAAAAAAGTGAATGCCTATATATGTTTCAAATCTTTTATACATGGGCTAAAAATCAAATAAGCTATAAGTTTACATCCTCCATTTTAATTAACAAAGAAGGCACTTTTTATTTGAATTTAATCAATACTTAAAAATATATAAAATCTACCATCAACTTACCATAATTTATACACTATGCCAAAATGGTATTGCTAAAAGAAAGAATAGAACTCTTTCCAATACAACCAAGTGCATGCTCCATAAGGTTCATCACTTCAAGCTGTATTGAGATGAAGCAATCACTCGTGTTGCTTATCTTCAAAATCAACTTCAAACAAAGATTATTTCTCCTCACACCACCCCATTTGAACTATGGTATAAGAAAAAATCTAATCTAGTACACATTCATGTATTTGAAAGTAGATGTTTTACAAAGATCTTTGATCTACTTTATGTCAAGTTTGATGTAAAAATTGAAGCTTACATTTTTCTTAGATATAGTTCAATTAGCAAGGGCTACAAGGTTCAACAAATTATAATCAAAGCCACCTTTGTATCTCTAGATGTTCTCTTTTAGAAAGAGCTTACTCTTTATTCAATTTATGTTTTGTTTAATCATCTATCTAATATAATCCTCAAAGCTAATCCTATATTTTATCACCTCAGTAAGTCTTTTTTAATTATTACTCAATACTAGAGTATTATGGTTGTTCAACATCCAATTACTCATGTAGTTGAATAGTTTTGGCCTACCTATTATATTTCTTTCATG